TATATATATATATCATGAAGTACCACAGTAGAAAAGGAAATTTACATGGAAATTAATTTTCAAAAGCCTTTTTACATCCGTGTTTTCTTCAGGAGCTGTGGAAGAAATTATGTGCTTGAACAATCAAATCATTATTTGCATATTCCCTTCGGGCCACAGAGACTGACATGTTGTATATACAACAAATCAAACACTGAACAGTTTCCAAAATGTAGCCTCAGAACCTCTACTCGGCATAAGTTGCATAATTAGGTAGATGCTTCCTGTGGCCGCTAAAATCAATTGAACAGTTCTCCTTTTCCTTTTTGTTCATTGCTACCTCCAGCATATACCAACATACCATCCAAGCTCAACACAGTAACTGCAGAATGTAGGTCTCCAAGTCTTCAGCAGGGACAGCATCAGGGCAGTCCATTCATTTGCTAAAGTCGTCTAAAGCAAAGAATTTGGGCTCAACTGAAGGGACAGCTCTGCAAACCCAACTGTAATGAGTTTCTTTTTTACTAGGATTAGTTCTTAGCAAGGAAGACTCAAAATCAGTCTAATGCCAAGGATAAATTAGTGACACCTGCTACCTGCAGTGTCATATTCTGTGTGAAAAGGACATTTCACGATTATGTCCCACTTTTAAGGGTCAAGTGAGAAATCTTCTCTGTGTTCATTTGGGATTTAGGAGCATCAGTCAGGGTAAAACAGCACCTATCTCCCTCGTGTTTTATGACAGTGACCTCTAGTCTTGACTTTTGTTGTTCGATCTTAAAGTACTTATCAAATTGTCATTCACACATAGTGTGATTTTGGACACTTGAGCAACTTCACAGTGTTTTCTTTCCGGAAGGAGACCTGGGATTGCACCCTCAACATTTCTGCAGGAAGGGGTCAGTAGGCTGATGATCTCCATCCGTTCATTCTCAGTTCCCACCTCAGTCTCCTTCAGCAATGGGAAACATGTCCTTTTGTTCCTGCTGCGCCAGCTTAGGTTCCTGATGGGATCCCAAAGCAATGATATTCTGCAGTTATTTCTCCTGGGTCTCACCCCAAACAGTGCCTCCTCGTCTTCTACTTCAGTCTTCAAGGTCATCGTCTCACAAGGCAGAAATAGAAATTTCAGTAACTTGAGCTGATTCATCAGGAGCATTTTCAGATAGGCAGCCATTTCCTTGCTCGCTGGTTTTCTCAAGCTATTTATAACTGAATGATTCTGAAAGTGTGGTCTCCGGAGCAGATGCAGAAGCAGCACTTGGGCACACGTTAGAAAGGCAGGTTCTCTCAGTCCAGCCCAGACTACCAAATCGGAGTCTCTGTTCTCACAAGCCCCGTGGGGCTGGAGTTCCTGGGATCTGAGAATCGCACTGCAACTGTGGTGAAACTCGAAGTTGTATTTTGGTCCCACTGGTGTTTACAGTGACTCAGTCAAGAGCTTCTCAGACTCACAATAAAAGTTGTTCTACTTCTCTGTAAACTCATATTCATGCCTGAACTCAAACCAACATCTACAAACTAGAGTTTTCTCTCAAAAAAAAATTTTTGTTTTGGTACCTGGATTGGAACTCAGGACTTTATGCTTGCCAGGCAGGCACTGTGCTGCTGAGCTGTATCCCCAGCCCTCTCTCAAAATTGTAACTGGTTTCATTTATTCTCTTTCACTGCCAATACCTATTGTAGCCTCTGCAGTCCTTAAAATGAAAATAAGCCTTCTAAGTTCATTGTTAAATTTGCATCCCCTTTTAATCACGTGTAACATTTATCTTACAAGAGTAGTGCCATGCCGGGTTTCTTTTCAAGAATATTAGGTGAAGTTTCCCCTTTCCCAAATGGTTCCTTTTGTTTCGTTTCCCTCTGCCTTTCAGTTTACATTTATTCTCTCTCAAAGATAATTTGCATTTCCTTTTTGATGTAATAGTTGACTGTGCCTTGGTTTTTTTCCTTCAGTGTTGGGGACTGAACCCAGAGTCTTCACACCGACGTCCATCTCCAGCCTCCATTTTAATTGCTTATTTGGGACAGTTGCTTGCTAAGTCACCCAGTTGTCCAGGCTGGGCTCAAACTTGTGATCCTCCTGCCTCAGCCTCCTAGAATAGTGGGATTATAGGAATACACTACCACACCAGGCTGTCTTTTCCTCATCTTTTTTTTTTTTTTTTTTTTTTTTTTTTGGTTTTTCTCCGGTACCGGGAACCGAACTCACGACCTTGCACTTGCCAGGCAGGCGCTTTTGCCGCTGAGCTAAATCCCCAGCCCCCTTTTCCTCATCTTAATCATTTCTTTGGCTGATTCAAAATTAGACTAACTAGTCCTTTGTGATTCTTAAGAACATTGCATTCAGAAATATTACACCAAGTAGTCATTATTTGGTGTAAAGACTCATTAAATCTCTTTGAAAGCTTGAAAAGCAACAGTTTTTTATATCAATATGTAAAGAAAGGTAGATGTAACTTTATAAATAATTTAGCCTGAGTATATAGAATTTTTGCCAAGTATTATGCTTTGTTAATACTCTGCTAAAGTTATTAATTTTTCCTTCACCCCATGACATCTCCATTTTAATTTCATATGGGCATTTTAAGAGCATTTGTCCTTTAATGTTTTAGAGCAAACTTAAAAGAAGTCATTAAAAGAAGACATTATAGCTTCTAATTGTATTCTACTTTAGCTTTCATCTAACTCCTGCAGTTAAAAGTTTATATTTTATACAAATGTAAACTACTTTGATAGCTTCTGGCCACAATCAATTTTCATTTTGATGAAAGCATTGCCCTCTGTATTGGACAAGCCTTAAAGTTTTAATACCTGCATCTATAGAATTATTTTCTAATTGCCAGCATCTCATTGGATAAGACATATAAGCATAGCAGCAGCTAAAAAAATTTAGTTGTGAACTCTGTGTTTTGCCTAACATTTTTTTTTCAAATTTTATCTCTTTCTCATTTTTAATGAACAAATTTATTACAACATTTTTCTTCTCAGAAATTTAATCTTATAAAAGTATGTTTCTCAAACACTATATTTAGTAGCTTAAAGGGATATAAAACTTAAATATAATAATTTGGAGACTGGTTGTCAAAAATATATATAGGTAATAACGGGCTCTGCATTTCTTACATGGTGACTACTGCGAAACTTGTGTCAGTTGTAATAATTTGTATTTTGATTCACATTGCCTCAGTAACTCACCTTCTTAATTACTGAGTTATTTTGCAGTGAATCTTATGACTTCAGTAGCAGTTTTAGTAACTGAGTATGTAAGGTTGTTGATAAATCAGAACATTATCTCATTATATGAAATCCTATCTTCAAACTACAGATTTTTCTGTGTCGTTTGTCAATAAATGCCATTTACAAACTCCTCCGTCTGGCTGTATTATTGATCTGATTCCTAAACAGCAACTAATAGGAACATTAATCTACAAATGACCACGATTCTAAAATATTTCTGCCAAACACGAAAAGCCCTACTCCCAGTTACTCATCAGTGTGCTGAAAACAAGCAAGCATTTGTAGCTGAATGGATTTGTTTTAAAGAAAACTCCAAGTCCCCCAATCAAATACAAATTTGGGAGGCTCCACGTCACTCTGACAAACTCATATTTCCTGCAAAGATGATAAGAATGAGAGGGATAAAAAGCTCACACAGATGACAGAAAGTGCCCTTTCCTCTCCAGAGGTTCTTGATATAACAGTAGTAGAAACATTTACCACGACAATGCATGATATAAGAAACGAGACATTATACCTGAAATGTTTTGGGAGCAAAATATATCCCCTTGACTCATCTGAAAAAGCTTACCTTATCCTTGGGAGAAAAACAAATGTGTCCACAGATCTTTCTGGGCTTTGGGCACTTCACCACCTTGCACAGCTCATCACTGCGGCCCTCCACTAACTTCCGGGTTTTAGAGCATGGACGCCATGTTTTACGTAAAAGATCATATCCAAGAATGATGCCTCTTGGCTTCCCTGGAGACACCCAATCAATGCGAAAGGATCTGCAGCAGAGAGAATAATCGATACTTCTGAGGAGACAACATTTAACCTCACTGCTCTTGGCCTCATCTACTTTTCAATTAATCTTCCAGACTGATCAAAAGCTTTATTCCATCAACAACTTCATAACTGGAAGACGGAAGGGACAAATACTGATATCTATTTAATATATGCAAACGCATTTATATACACATATGTTCCTACCATACAAAATATCCGAGTCAGTGGAAACTAAGCTTTTGAGAGCAGAACACATGACAATAGCCTGGTGGTGTTTCACTTTAAGTTTCAAAGAACGAACTATCACTGTTTGTGACTAATCAGGAAAATCAGTAGAACATTTAGCAAAGATAAGACCTAGAGAACATAACCTGGTCAATAAGGTGAAAATTAGAATCTGGCAAACCTGATCCCCATTTCTTGCACCTTCCTTGCCACACCTCAGCTAGGATTAATTATTTGACAGAAAGCAACTGAAGATGCAACTGAAGATGGCCTTGGGATTCCTAGGAAATTTAGATTTCTTCATAGCTTCTGCCTCCTCCCTTCTCTTTCCTTTCTGCTGTACAGGAGGTTTCACCTTTAACATTCACCTTGTGGTCCCTAAGAATCACAAAGATGGCGCCATGGGGTTTGGTATTGTTTGGACACTGCCAATGACCTTCTGCATGGAGAAATCTTTGTGGAGGTCTCTATTGTTGGGTGTATTTTTTACTTGTAGACAAAATAAATGCTCAAATTGATAAAACCTTTAATATTACTAACTTTCTTCAGATGCACTTTACTTCAATATGTCTTCATACCTAAATGGATTTATTTCTCCCATCCTTCTTTAACTAACATGGTCAGATATGTTTTTATGGTCAGAAATAGAGGATTTGGAGAGTCCCCTAACAAGATACATTTATATCATCCTATTCTTAAAAAGGACATTTAATATTCTTTTAAAAATTGAGCCCCAATTTTATTTTAAATGCAGATATACTTTTTGGAGGGGTACAGTTAAGATGTAACATGAAACCAAAAACTTTAATAGTGCACTTTGAATGATCTGTTCATCTTTCACTTACAGATGGGAATGAGATCATGATTAAAGCTGTTCACAGAGAGGATAATCCTGAATAAAATGATTTACTCTCAGATGAATGTCACAGAACTTCAATTCTGCACTTGGGTCTACATTCCAAAAGATACTGCTTCAATCACACGTGTGTGCTATCTCTAAGATTTCTTAATAAGCTCAAGAAGTAGAAAATGGTCAAAGTTGTTAATATAGTTTCATAGATTCCCATGATACCTTATTACAGTATACCATAGCAAACAAAATCTTTTTTGTAAGTGTAAAAATAATTACATAATAATATCATACTTATTATTATTATTTTCAAAAAATGAACAGAACTCTAACACTTGAGATGAATACACTGTTCATAATTCTGGAATTACCAGCCATAACATTTAACCAATCACAAATAGTCGCTGGATACCTTTACCTAGCAAACGTTCCAGTAGGTATGTTAAAGGGCAGACAACACATGAGAGTCTGGACCCTATTCTTCGAGTCTTACTGTAAAAATCATGTAATAACTTTTTTGAGCAATTTTCTACCACTGTGTAAAAATAACACTTCAAATATACCTTTCCTTTTAAAAAGAAATAGATCTTCATAGGCCAAATGCTTGACCCTATCAGAATTCTAGGTGACATCCTATATTAGGAATTCAATTAAGCCCAAACATTTACATTAAAAAGCAGCAGTCAAGATAAACCTTGACATTTTAATAGACTGCTAAAAAATAATTATTTCATTTTCTTGGGGGTACAAACATAACACATTCTAGTAATAAGTCTCTGTAGATAGGAAATTAATGTCACCTAGGAGAGAGCAGTTTCATAGGTTACTAGTATAGTCAGAGCTTTTATTCTAAAGTATCCAACTCTCAAATTAATTCCACACTGTGCAGACGGCTCTTTTGTATTCCTCACATAATCAACTATAGAAAAGACTACATTTAAGTGACATTTGAGGATCTGACTTATCCACAATAACTGCTGAACTAGTAAGGTCCAGAGAATACCGCATGTAACCCCATGTCACTGCGACTTTTTGGGGGTGAGTACACCATAACTGCTATGTGAGACTACTTCTATTTTCTGTGATAACATGAGCAGTTCAACATCTGAGGATTTGAATTAGTGACACAGAACCAAATGATCAAAGAAGAGTAAGGGGTTTAACACCTATTTCTCCTTAGAATAAACTGGAGGGAACCTGAAAAGCCTTTTGGTTGTCATTTGACAATGAAAGACATCCCTGAGAAATATGCACCAGTATTAATGCAATTAATGGATTCATTGCTTTGATGTTCAAGAGTAAAATAGGAAGAGTACCTTTAAGTACTGGGAATGAATTACACATATCGGTTGAAAAAGATGAGATTTTTTTTTGTATAGGTCAGTATAAGTGTTTGAACTCATGTATAACATAAACAGAATTTATTTGCAGCTTGGCCCAAGAAATAACTGTGTTTATTTAGTTCTCAGAGCAGTAGGGACTGAAATTTAAGTTACCATAACTAGGTTCTGATAAAAGCCACCACGTCTACACGTATTTTAGTTAGGTATTTCTTTTTCACCCTGTTATGTGTAGTAATAGGTCTACTATTTTACTTCTGCTCCACAACAGAATATTGTGGCCACCAACATAGTAGTCACCACTTCCATCCATCAAAGACATAACTGGGCTACATTAGTAACCCAAGGGTGACTGAGTATAATTCTGGGTTTGCTCTTATTTCAGAATTTTAACTGTTGCCCCATGCTGGAGAGGACTGGTGAGGAGCTCCTCTGTAGTAAGTTTCTCTCTTGTACAGGAAACATCAAGATTCTGATGAGTTCTGAAATAGCACTTAGCCATCACCCTAACCAACCCCACTAACGGAAGTAGAGGGGAGTTTATGAAAGTAGAAACTTTAGTGAATATTTAGTAGGTATTTAGTGCAAACCACATACCAGTCTACACTTACCAGTGCGGAAGAAAAATGTAATAATATTGTATTGTAACAAGTGAGTGACATGAACACAACAATCACATAAATATATCTCCTAAGAAATCCATGGCCTGAGAAGGCTTAGCTCTTCTGTGCAGAAGTCTGAAGGAAGGGATGAGGAAAAGCAAGGGAAATTTCCAGGCAGAGGAAATGGATATGCAAAGGCCCGGAGGCCTGGGCTGCTAAAGGGACATCAGAGAGTCCAGGAGCATGCTGAGTGAGAGACAGGAAGCTGGAGGAGGTCAGGCAGAAGCTGGTAGAGTGGGAAGGGAAAAAGCAAATCATGCAGCATTCTGCAGCAGATGACAATGAATTTAGATTCAGTTTTGAGTGTGTTGGCAATTGATTGGCGTATCTGAGCCAACAAGTGAAAGAAGATTTATTTCCACACACCCTCCATCCACACGCCACCATTCCACATGGCTACTTTATCCCTCAGGAGAACTGGAAGTAGAGAAGTTGGAAGCATTTGCGTTTCACGGTTAGTACTGACTGAGGCCCGAAATGCCCAAGCCAATCTGCTGGAGAGCAGGGTGGTGAGGAGAGCCAGCGGAGTTTGGCACAGGACGTGGCTTTGGCAGTTTTTGTGGGTTTGTGTGCACTTTCCAGGTAAAAGACTCTGGTGGCCAGAGATGGACCAAAGAAGCTCTGCCACAGTATGACTAGAGGGCCACATGTCATAGAGGAGTGAGTCTCCCGTGAGCCAAGAGGATGCTCAGCGTGGCTACCTGGAGGGAAGTGTGCCTGGGACGGCAGCCTTCTGAGACCAAAGGGCTCCAGTAGGGGAGTCTTGGGGATGTTTCCTCTGTTGGCCACACAAGAGCTCAGCTACAGACGGCAAAACTCACATCAGGGCTTTTAGCTCTGCAGAGATCCTCCTGGGACGCTCAAGGAGAGCATACTTATCCAAGGCATCTCTGCCACGTAGAGGGCTAGAACTGCCATCACCTAAGGGTGACAGTGAAATAGTAGTATTGGGAGGGACCCATTTGGATGAAGGGAGCCGGAGAGGAAGGGTGAGGAGCAGAGACACAGCAAGCTGCAATCAGGAGTGAGGTGTGAGATGGTAGAAGCTGTGAGCTAGATGTGAGCCTAATATTTTGCTGGAGGTGGAACGGGTTTTACATACTTAATCGTGATTCATAATTATCAAAGGAAGAGTGATAACTGAAGATAATGTAAAAGTTATAAGATGTTCTTGAGAGGCACTCAGGAATTGAGGAAGTGATAATCCAAACCATTTTGAAGATAACAATATGTAATACAGCAACCATTGCTAATTTTCTTTCACCTTGTTTTGAAATTCTGTATCATTTTTATGTTGTTTCGTTTATATCTTTGTTTTTGTTATTTTGTTTTTGTTCTTTTCTCTTTAAAATAACAGAAGAGTATATTTTTAGCACAATAACTTGTAGGTGAAAGGTATAGCCTTTTCCCCCCTTTATAGCTAGTTGGATTAAGACAGTTCCAAACTGGCTCTGGAAACTTAAAAGATGAAGATATGGTGCAGGGTGATGATGGTGAACATGGAAAAGACCATCTATGAGAAAATGCTTTAAAGGGAAATAGGGTCAAATTGGTGTTTAGTGAACTCAAAGAATTAAACAAGTTAAAGATAGATGCCTTCTATCATATGCAGAATTATGGGGTATTTTCAGGAATGGACGTTGGAAAAGATGATGGATTTGTTGAGAATTGGCTTTTGGCTGAAGGACAGGGAAAGGATGGTTGGATCACAGCAGAAAGTCAAAAGACAATAATTTGTGGAGCTAGAGTTCAGGGAGATGACAGAGGTCTTTGAGACTTAGTATGACTGAAACTGCAGGGATGTTCACAGTATCTGAGGAGGAAGGTGGGTCTTTCTGTTGAGGACACCCAGAATAAGTGAGTGGGTTTGTAACAGAACCAATGAAAGAAGCCAGTGAGCAATTAAAGGCCACAATGAGCTGGCA